CTCCTCCTCCCAGGAAACGAGTCGGACGTGATGACATTGAGATGAAAAGGGGGGATTGGCTGTGTCCCAAGTATGTTCCTCTTTATGAGTTTATGACTTCCTCATGTGCAGTTGTATATTTTTTTGTTCTTAATGTAAGACTGCCAGATGCCTAATCTGGGGATGCACTTAGGCATTTTCTGAAACTTCTGAAAAATTATTGGACTCCTTTTCTCTGCTGCTCTCTAGGTAATCCTATGAATGTTGTCCTTTTTTGGATCAATCTATGGTTCAACCTAGGTAATCTTATGTGCATCCTTGGAATATCTGTAGTTACATGTGGCACTCTTGCCAGGAAGATCTTAAATGCAATTGTCATGACAAGTTCAAGAGTTTAAAGAACAGAATTAGCTAGTTGTTTCAACTACGAAGACAAGTTTTAAATTGTGTTTTAAAACCAGCATTATCTAATTTTTTCAACTATACAATTATTGTCATAGTCTAAGTGCTTTATTGCTAAGAATGCTGCCTATATTTTCTCAGGTGTGACTTCATGAATTTTGCCAAGAATGCAGTGTGCTTGCAATGTGATGCAAAGCGGCCCAAGAGACAGTTGCTTCCAGGGGAATGGGAATGCCCAGAGTAAGTCTTCCATTGCAAATCATTAGTGTATTTCCCCCACTTTACTGTCTTTGTTGCCTCATATTTCCAAATCATGTGGTGGTTGTACGTCTCTGCTTATCCTGTATCATTTCTATACTAGAAAACAATGCAACTTCTTTGTAAAATTTTCTGTAATGTGCAGTTTGTTGGTAAAATTTTGAAGTATTTTGCTCTTTGCTATGGCAGGTGTAACTTCTTAAATTATAGGAGAAACATGGCATGTTTCCATTGTGATTGCAAGCGTCCTCCTGATGCATTTATGGAAAATAAAATGGAAGAAAGGCAGTATGGTAGCAGACCAAGGTCGGAGAAGATTTTCAGCCGCCCAGAAGTTTCAAATGCCTGGAATTTTGACTTTGATGACAATGAATCAGATGGGGCAGATGTTGCTGCTTTTGAGCATGCAGATTCTGCATCAATGGTTGAAGACTTACCTCTGGAGAATCAAGCTAAGGAAGTAGATTTTGGACGGAATGCAGATGCTTCAAATGGAACCAGAAGAATTTCGAGGGTCCATGAAAGAGAATATTCTGATCCTGAGCATGAAGGGTTTGGAAGGGGGTTTGATGATTTTGATGATGAAGATGATATTAACAGTTATGAAATAGATACCCAAAATAATAAACCTGCATGGAAGACTTCTCAAAATAATTTTTCTGATCAAGGGATTTCTGAATTGGAAGATGATGGAGGTTCTGATGACAATTTGGGCAGCCTGCTCATGAAAAATCCTTCTGTTAAGCCATCAAAGCCCAGGAGTCAAAGAGCAACTTTCTCTGGCTCTGTTGAGAATGAACTGGGTATCGATTCAGATGAAGAGCGCTCAGTTCATCCGAAATGGAAATCCAGTCATGTTGCTGATTTTAGACACAAAAATAGAGGTAGAGGTCCAACAGGCCCTTCCAACGGATTAAGTTTCGGGTCAGACGAAGAACTTGAGCCTGATTCTGATGTGGATGATGATATTGGTTCCAGCCAGAGGAAACAGAGAACAAAGGGTTCTGGTAGAAGAAATGAGAGAAATTCTGATTGGGAAGATGCTTCCATTTCTGGTTCAGAATCCGATGGCAATGATCGGCAT